CATAATGATATACAAATAATTTCACTCAATATGATTATATTGATATAATGGGTTCATCCATGGAAAGCAACAAACCGTTCAACCTGAATGAGCCTCTCTACTAATACCCGGTTTGTTCCCATTTTTCCCATCATAATTTCGTCGGATGCTGAAGAAGTCAACCCTCGAAGTGGTAGGAGAGTCATTTTAGCTAGTCCTTTTCCAACCTGGACGAAATTTCAAGCAAAACCTCGTAGTCACCGAACAGTGTACTTGATGATGTGTTCGAGTTCATGGTTTCGTTCGAAAGATTGATTCGACAATAATGAGTCATTGCGATGTTTTCACTTCCTGAGATAATTGTCGTAAGTTTGAACGATTCTAATGAAGATAGTAGGGGAACATTCATGTATCTAATACAGATAAAATATAATGAAATAGATAGTGTAGAGTGTATTAAACAAAAACGTAATGAGCTTAGCTTTCTTCAGTAAAAAGAGTGGAGACTATGGTAAAGAGAAACATTACAGCAAAAGTTGATGAAATAATATATTAAATCTTACTGTTCAAAGCTATAATCTGAAGGTAATGAAAGTAATTTCAAAGTCCAAGGTATTTGGGTCGATGACTACGCGTCGTAACTTTTAGAATCTTTGTAGAGTCCCGAAAATTTTCATAGATTAGAATTAATTATTTTATATGCTATATTTTTAACATTTTGAAAAGTGAAGGACTAAAGTGATATATACTAAATTTCAATTTTATTTGGATCAAATATTTAGATATTGATGGAACGATAATAAGTATGTGAATATTGGGCTAATTGAATAGATCGTAATTAATCATACATATTAGGTTTGAAAAAAGGTTGATTCGGGTAAGCAAAGTCCAAGTTATAGAGGTCGAAAGATAGTCTTAAATAGTAATTTAGTTAATTTATGCATTTAGAATTTAAGGGTGACACGTATTGGTGAGTTATTAATTGTTTTTTATTAATTAAAGATTTTATATAAAAAATGGAGTTATGGGGCAGCCACGTGTGTAGGGTTGTTCAAAATGTTATCAATTAACTTTTATTTTATTATTCTAATAATTTGGTGTAAAATTCCTAGCGAGTCTTGTTTCCCATACAATTGTTGTTTGAGATATTTCGTTTTAGACGATAGAGGTATGCTGCTTGAAACATGGAATTTTCTATACGAAGTCCAATATTTTTATCCCCACTTTTAGAGTTTTGTTACATAACCCCCATTTGGTACCCATTTTTTTCAAAATACATTTTTCTTTTTCTTCTTTTTAACCACACATTCTTTATTAAAATAATATTACACGTAAATAAAAAACTTTTCTTATTTTTCAATCACACACTTCCTATCAAATTACTATTCTAAAATGCATTTTTACATAAAAATGGCTATCAAATACCTCTTATATATAACTCATGAATGCAATAACTTTTCCCACTATAAGTATATGCAAAAACACGACAGAGGCAGAAAGAAGTAAGTGAATATGATTTCTTTTACTATTGTCTTCGAAGAAGTTATAGCAATCTAATAAGGTAGGATAACGATGTGCAGTTATTTTTATCCTGTTTAAATTTTTTTTCTTTGTTGTCGAATTATTATACTTATGAAAGTTAAAGATGTGATATGAAATATATGGCTATCCGATACCAAAAATATGATATGTAATAAGCTCTTGCCAATTTATAAAGATATGATAACAATATGATATTTTTGACATATGTTTTTAATATTTTTATTCAGGATTGCATCATTATTTTTATGTCCTATTGAGTATTCCCATGTATTTAACCCTTTTCCCATACTCCTCACAGGTTAGAACGGTTCATTTCGATGGGCGATGAGGTGTAGACGTGGTGCCAAGATTCTTAGAACTCAATAAATTAAATACGATGTAGTGTGATTGAAGATTTTATTTCCAACAATTAGTTGTGCTTATTCATGAACCATTTTCCTTCTTAAGGAATTAGACAATTTATTTGATTCTGACATATAGTATATGTTATTATGAACCAACATCTTATTCATAGGACATGACATAAAATAAATTTTGTTTCTAGATTTCTTATATTAAAATAACTGCTTGTTATTTAACTCTACATGACGCTGGTCGAATTTGACATATTTAAGCAGTTATTTGAAATTATACCCTTAGCTCTTTTGATCTCATTTTTTTTTTTTAAATACTTTTTTTTGCGACAAATTTTTCCGTTGATAATTATTTTATTATTTACATATAGCTATTGTTTGATCCATTTTTTTTTTAAATACATTTTTCTCCCTTTTATTTTAAATCACACGTTCTTCAATAAAATAATATGATACGCAAACTCAAAATTTTTTCTTATTTTTTAACCACACATTTTCTATCAATTAATTATTCTAAAATGCATTTTTAAAAAATAATATAGCTCAAACAGGCTATAATTGAGGAAAACATTGTGTTAGGAACCATTGCATTAATTATGCCAGGAAATTGAAAATTTCCGTTTGTCTGCCACCTTTGTTAAATTCGTAAATTAATTTGCATGCCAATTACGTTCCTAATATTTAAATTATAAATTGGCTACGTGTATATCTCACATGGTTTGAGGAATGATTGTCATCTATTTGAATTAAGTGCTCCAAAGTAGGAATAAAATATTAATGATATACCTCACTAGACTATGTCACAAATTGCATTTTTTTTTTTTGGTACATGTTAATGTTGAAATCACTCAAATTTGCATAGAATTGAATTCTATGATTTATTTAAGAATTTGAGATCTATCCAAAATGTTTGGAAAATTCCATGAAAAATTGATCGAATCAAACATGTCCAAGAGTTTTTGGAGCATATAAAACATTGTCCCGAACATAAGGCATATAATGACCCAGAACTATTGGAGATCGAAGGACTTTTTCCCAAATGAGAGACCCAAAAGTTTTAAGCTTGAAATATATTTTTTATATTCCTAAATGATTTTGGTACCACGACATGAGATTTAATGGAGACCCGAAATTTTTGATCTCAAAGACTTTGTCCCATATAGGCAGGAACGGACACAAGGCTTGGCATGGAGGGTCATCCGATCCTCCTACATTTGCGCAAACTCATCATTTTTTTTTATTTTTTTTTACAACCATTAAATTTTCTATATTTTGTCACGATTTCGAAGTCGTTAAGGAGTGTCAAATGAAGTTGAAATATTGTATTCTTAATACCATTTCAAAGTGCTCACAACTTAATTTTTTAAGTCATTAATAGCATGCGAAATGACTAACCGTAGAAAATGTTATTGCTTGTCAAAGTAGGACGTTGTAAACTAGTATTTTAAAAATTTCGATAACATGCTAATTTTAAAAATTCTTTGACATTTGTACGATAGACAAATTCACAAATCATCTAAGTTATCTCGAAATTTATTTTGAGACTACACTTTAGACATGTCGAATGGTTCAAACATATATAAAAAGGAAAAATGCTTGAGGTACATTGTGGTGTCCAAAATGGACACCTGGCGTCTCGGTATTGGCCGAGGCGCCTGTGGGCCCAGGTGTGGTAGGCGCCTCGACCACTATCGAGGTGTCGGGTGTCCATTTTGAACACCAAAATGGACACCACAATGTACCTATATAGCATTCCTGTATAAAAAATAGTTAAAAGTGTGTCAAACATGCATCTTCAAAAAATTCCAACTTGTCTTTTCTTTAAAAATTTTCAATAATTTCATTAATATTTATTATTTTTACACGATAAATTTTCTCAAAATAATTTACATCATTTTATTAGGAAATTTTGCATGAAATATGACATAAATTTTTTGGATGATGCTATTTGTACATGCCATTTTATACTTTGGGTTACCTGACCCACCTCCTCCTCTCACATGGGGGTTGGGCCCCCACTCGTGGCCTCCACGTGGGACCAAACTCCATGTGAGAGGAGAAGTGGGATCGGGTAAACCAAAGTGTAAGCCAACAAGTACAAATAGCTTAATTATTATTATTATTTTTTCGAAATTTTACATCTGAAAATTCATATCCCATGTAAATTCTAGGATGTAAATTTACATGGGGTAAGACATATATATTTAATGTAAATTTTCAAAGGTAAAACTTCTCGCAATCCTCCCCCCCCCTCCCCGGTCAAATTAGAATGTGTCCCTAATTAAAAGTGTCTGTGCTCACCACTGCATGTAGGAGAATGATGCAAACTCAAAAGTTTAAAGTTTGGAATATATTTTTATAATCAGTAAGATTTTTGTGCAGGATAGGAGATTTGAGGGAGACTCAAAACTTTTGAATAAAATTGATCAAATGCGACTATTTCTAAAAGTACTTTCAAAATAGGAAGTTCTTTTAGAATTTAGTTTTCAAACAAAAATTAAGATATTTTCTTCTAAAAAATTCTTTTAGAGAAAGCAAAAGCAAAAGCAAGATCAAAAATCATATTAAACGGATCCTAAATGACTCAATTAGTCCTTGTTTGGGCTAAATTAAAATCAAATTTTTGGGATAATTATATTTTCAAATAATATTTTTAAAGAACGCGTGGTTGAAAAAGAAGGAATTTTTTTTAAAATTTACATGTAATATTATTTTATTGAAGAATTTGTATCTGAAAAGAAAAGAGAGAAAAATACATTTTAATTTTAATGAGTCCAAACAGGGTACCTTATTTAATGAACAATAGTATCACTTAAATTGATATTTGAAATTTTATGCTGTTAAATAGAACTATTCATTTATAAGTCAAGGAAGTTATATCCATCCAATGTTGACCTTTTATCTCTAAATTTTAATCTAAATCAACACCTTCTTTATACACACAAGAAAGTCTTATTTTAAAATTGCCTATCGACCCCACAATGTTCACCACTAATCATTCATTCATTTCAAACGTTTTAGCTTTTGTAATTTTAGTAATATTGTCAAATTTTGTTGAATAAACGACATCACCCTTTAACTGCTAAAACTAAAGGAAATTGAACAATTAAACATAAACAGAAAAGGAAAAGGAATGAAAAATCTTGGCAACCTAATGCGTCACCTCCATTATTTTATTCTATGGTATGCAGATTTTTCAACGTTCACACCTTAAACTAGGTGCCAACCAGGACCCAGAGACCACAGAAAAGTCACTACACGTGTTAGCACCTAACTCCAGAATGAAAAGAAATGATGAATTTACAGAAGATTCAGATTGGTTTTGTGTTTTCCAAAGTCACACGGAATGGCAACTTACTGATTCCTTGATCCAAAAAAATGCTGCAATCACAATTTACCGTTGCTCTCATCTATTCTTTAACGTTTCTCAAATTGTCCGTTGCAGCAGATACACTTTCTGCAAACCAAACCATTCGCGACGGGCAGATTTTAGTTTCTGAGGGAGAAATATTCGAGCTGGGATTCTTCTCCCCTGGTAATTCCAATAACAGGTTCTTAGGAATATGGTACAAAACTACTCCGGATGTTGTTTTTTGGGTTGCAAATAGAAATAATCCCATTATAGACTCGCAAGGGATCTTATCCATAGCCAGAAATGGAACTTTACTTCTTAAGAGAGGCAAAACCATTATCTGGTCGTCAAATACATCAAGTGTTGCATCAATTCCAGTTGTACGCCTCTTAAACACTGGAAACCTTGTAATTATGAACTCAACTTCTCAACAAAACTATATATGGCAGAGTTTTGATTATCCGTGTGATACCAGGTTACCAGGAATGGAACTGGTAGACTACCTTGGACAGGGTCAAGATAAATATTTGACGTCTTGGAGAAGTTCTCATGATCCGTCCATTGGAGATTTTTCCGACAGGATTGAATATAATGGTGGACTAGTTGAAATGGTTGTCTACCACGGGAAGATAAAAAGATGCCGCCGCAGCCCATGGAGTGGGCATTACACCAGTAATCTCCCTTTCATTCTCACTACACCTTTTAAACCGGTTTTGGTATTCAATAAAGACAGGATTTCACTCTATGATAACAGCTCATTAATCACGAGATTTAATTTAGACAAATCAGGCTTTGTCCATCGCTATACTATGAATGAGAGCAAAAATGGGTGGAATCTTGTTCAGACTTTTCCACGCGATTTTTGTGACAATTATGCTCGGTGTGGTCCTAATGGTATCTGCAGAATTAGTCAGGTACCAATATGTGAGTGTCTGAAGGGATTCGCCCCAAGATTTCAGAAGGATTGGGACGTGCAAGATTGGTCGGGTGGATGTGTTAGAATTACGCCAATAAATTGCCAGAATGGAGATGGGTTTCTTGGGGTGGAAGCTAACTTTCCTGATAGGTTGCAGTTTCAATTGAATACTAGTATGAATTTCAATGAATGTCAAGCTCAGTGTTCCAAAAGCTGTTCCTGTACAGCTTTTGCTACCCCTTTTATAACTGGAGTCAGTAGCTGTTTGATGTGGTTTGGGGATTTGATTGATATTAGAGAGCCTCCTGGAGCAGATAGCAAGGTGAACATCTACATTCGTTTGCCACCTTCTGAACTAGGTAAGTCTACCGGTAATCACTCTTAGTTTCCAAGACATGTATCTAATTGTGAGTGTAGAGAATTTAGAAACCATAAAATGGGAGTAGTATTTTTATTGGGATTCTGTTAATCACTGTAGAATTCCTATTCAAGACCACTGCAGTTCCTTTTTGGGCGGTTGTAGGACGGACGATCGCCTATAGGTGGTAGGGTAGGGTTGGTAGTACCTCTAAGATTGCGGCCAATTCTCCTAGTTAGGCGCGGACCAGGTTTAAAGTGTGTGAAACTCCGCTACCTCGTAAGGGCGTTGAGACCAAGCATGTTACACAAAATTGCCACACTTTCTCTGTGGTATAAAAAAATTAAGGTCATGTTCTCTGGTTGATCATGTATTCTAATCAAGCTCTGCCGAATCATTGATCCGGCCAATGCACTGAGGTTGACTGGTTCACATGAGATCAGGGCAAGTAGACTTGCTTGAGATTTTTACAAACCAAGTCATCTCCTGGTTGGGCTACCTGCTCCAGTCTAGATTCTACAAATATGATCATAGACTCATAAATTTAACCCAATATTTTAGTTCATATTGATCGAGATAAGAATAGAATGTTCATAAACATCATTAGAAACACTCTCAAGTATCCATGTTTAACTTGGAGCTTTTTGCCAGTTGAAATTGAGAAAACTCAGTTTTATCTGTGGGTAAGGACGGTCCAAAATAGAACAGAGTTGAGATCCTTTGCAATGTTAGTTATATTAACTTCAAAAAGCCAGCATCATATTAAGCAACCAAATTTTATAATCAAGATTCAGAAGGGGAATACAAGAAAAAAATAATCAACAAATGCTATTTCTTGTAGTTTATATCAGAAAACTAGAAACTCTAAATTAAAAAAGGATTCATGTGGAGAATAGTTACATCAGCTGCTTTTTTTCATTGCAGAATCTAACAATGTTTTAGGTAAGAAGAAGAAAAGGCCCGCAAAGATAATCTTCATTTTGACTGCTGTCGGAGTGCTTATCCCTGCTTTAATCTGCGGGGGCATACTTCTAAAGAGAAGACTAACAAGTAAAGGTTATAAAACTTATCCTCTGTTCTTTCTCACAGAAGTTTTATCACAAGTGCAGTAAAGTGCTTAAGAATACATAAATCACAGTAAGCATGCATTAAAGCCCTAAGGCAATGATTTGCTTTATAGGAGAAGAAAGGAAAACTGAAGGTCTAGAATTACCTTCATTTGATTTGGCAACTGTAGCTGCTGCCACGGATAACTTCTCCAGCAAAAACATGATAGGTGAAGGTGGTTTTGGTCCTGTTTACCGGGTAATTTCTCTAGCGAAAACAGATGTGGTGCCTTTTTTCTTTGTACGAATATATCACATTAACACTTGTATCTTATATTGCATATTAAGGGTAGGTTATCAGATGGACAAGGAGTAGCAGTAAAAAGACTGTCCAAAACATCCAGACAAGGTATTGAAGAATTCAAGAATGAAGTGAATTTGATTGCCAAACTCCAACACAGAAACCTCGTCAGATTATTGGGATGTTGCACTAAAAGAGACGAAAGAATGTTAATCTATGAGTACATGGAGAACAGAAGCTTGGATAATTTTATTTTTGGTATGACCTAAGAAGCCCTTTATCTGATTAATATGTTTTGTAAATCATTATGCTTGATCCAAGGGGATCAAACATGTAGTTTTAACAATTAAAACTGTGCAATTCTGAGCAGATGAAGATAAAAGGACAATATTGTCATGGCACAAGCGTTTTGACATTATTATGGGGATTGCTCGTGGATTTCTCTATCTTCATCACGACTCCAGATTAAAGATTATCCATAGGGATATCAAAACAAGCAATATCTTGCTAGACGAATATCTAAATCCGAAAATTTCAGACTTTGGCTTGGCAAGAATTGTTGGAGGGGGTCACGATATAGAAAGAACAAAAAGAGTTATTGGGACTTAGTAAGTTTCAGTTTCTCGTTAACTTTAGTTAAAAAATTAATTGTTTGCACAACATCATATGACCATTGATCAATAACTTTATACAGTGGTTATATGGCTCCTGAGTATGCCTTTGATGGGAAGTTCTCAGTAAAATCAGATATATTTAGCATGGGTGTTGTCTTGTTAGAGATAGTGAGTGGCAAAAAGAACAGAAGTTTCAGATACATGGATCACTGTGATAGCCTTCTAGGACATGTAAGTAGTGCGAGCAAATTGAATTTTACTTCTATTTGTAGCTTTTGGTACTTTATAAATATATCTCTACTAGTTTTCTTGCGAGCTACAAAACTCGTCTAATTCGATCAATTTTCATAGGCATGGCTCCTTTGGAAAGAAGACAAGGCCTTGGAACTAATGGATGAATGTTTGAAAGATTCATATGTTGAATCTCAAGTGAAGAGATGTATACACATGGGCTTATTATGCGTTCAGAAACACGCAGACGACAGACCGTTTATGTCCAATGTGCTTTTTGTGCTAGGAAGTGATCAGGAGGGAGCAAATTTGCCTGATCCCAATGAACCTGGATTTTTCATGGGAGGGAGTTACAATATTGAAGGATCTTGTAAACTGCATTACAATAATGAAGAAACTTGTAAACCAGAGCCAAATTCAAATGCAGTGAGTATGACTGATATAGAAGCCAGATAGAGAAGGTTCAACAGAATGATAATTTTGTAGAACATGCACATAATCATGCTAATATAATAGCACTGTTGTTAATAGAGTAATGCTATGTACTATGTAGCAATAATGGTGCTACACATGGGTACAGTTTATTTTTTTAGTTCTTTTTTAATTAAAATTGAGGTTATGTATCTTTCCTTTAAAAAGCAATTCTTTGAGGAAAAGGGAGCTTTGTTATTTGCTGTAGCCAGTTGGTATCTTTAAGGTTAACACCAGCCAAGTAAAGAACGGAGAAAGATGAGAAATCGATTCTAGGTTCTTGAATCTCAGTTGGTGACAATATGGACAAGCGAATCCAAAAATTTCAAGAGTCAGCAAGTTGGTTACTTTCCGATGTTCATACTTAAATTTCATGTGTCTTAATTTCTCGAAGGAACCAATGAATTTTGGTATTTGAATACTGCCTCCGAAATCATTTCCCCTTAGGTCCAGTCCAGTCCAGGTAATTCAAATGCTGCATCTCAAGCAATGCAGGGCTTTTCTTTTCTCTCGAGGGATGATAATGAGTAATATTCTCGTGACCAGTTATGTTGCTACATGCCACACCCTTCCATTTGCAGCATCCACTTTTATCTTTGTCACTTCCCAAGGACGAGAGAGTCATAGTCGTCTATAAGGCCTTGATTAAACTTGAAAAGAGCTCGTCTTTCCAGAAGCAGAGAGCGAAGTCAGTTTCATGCACAGAGAAGATACGAATAACGATAAATTAAGTACTTTAAGTACTTTGATAATTCCTATATACTCCCTTTTTTTGTGATATCGTGTTTATAGTGAAATTTCTGAGTTCTAAGTTCTTTGATTCAATTAAAAATGATTTATCAAGACCGAAATCTCCTATTCTTGCATTCTTCAATTTCATTTCTTTAACAAGTTTATTCGAATTTTGTTAATGCCGAAATACGAGCCTCACTAATGGTGGCTTCTTCTCTCCTAACAAGTTCCATTGTATCCTTGAGGAATTTTGCTTTCCCGAGTGAATTAAAACGTGGACCCTCCTAAGGAGGCCAATTTTTGGTCTGTTCAATCAGACATTCATGTGCACACAAGTTCAAGATTCGAAGTGCTATTCCGGTTCTTGATTTGCATATTGTGTGCTCGTACGTGGAGAGAATTTCTATGCTATACATGATTACAAACTTTCAAAGTGTAGCCATATAACTTTTGTAAACTTGTAGTTTTTCCTCTGATACTTTAACCTTTTCCAATTCATCACTTTAAGCTTTAATTTCTTATTCATCTAGTTATCATTTTTGGCAAGTAAATATATGATTTCAATGTTCCCTCAAAGGAGAACACGAATCAACTTTGATCTTCCAAAATGAACAAATGGATCCCACTCAAAATTATGCCAAAACAGCCCTAACAAGCCATTTTTTCTCATCACACGCAACTTCATATCTACTGCAGGTTTTAGTTCGGGTTAAGTTCATGTATGGGTTGCTGTTCTTCCAACTTCATCAGATTCTATTAGGGCCATTGCTGTAATGTACTAAAACAAATTACGACGAATTCTATCAACTTTTCCTGTGTGGAATGAAAATATTTAAGGGGAAAAAAAAAAGAATACTTGATAGTTGCTTGATTTACAAGCATAAAATTCATTACCATTTTTCCCATAAACTTTACGTAGCTGTAAGAAAAGACACATTAGCTTCATTACCTTTTTTTCACATGGAATAAACCCCACACTTGATGTGGCTGTAAGAAAAGTCGAGTAAACGTGTTTGACAAAATATTGATTATTTATGCCACAGATTGAAAGTAAGTGTTGAAAAGAAAATAATGACATTGACATTAATTATGACTGAGAGGTTTCTAAGACATGTATCTTAGCCAGATAAGAAATGGCGTGTGAAGATTTTAGAAACTGAAAACTATGTTGAATAAAAAAAAATTTAGGTAATGTTCGTTAGCGTATTATGAATACTTACAAAACTCGGTCCAATCATCGATTCTGACGAGGCACCAAGGTTGACATGTTCACAAGCAATGGGGTCTGGCCATGTAGCTTATCTTGGAGTCTTGGACCAATTTGCAAGTTGTTTGCCTGTTTAAAAGTCAGACCAGTGGGTCTGGTCCAGATTTTACAAGTTTGATCATGCCAGACTCATGAAATCTGTATTTTAGCTCGTATTAAATATAGATAAGAATGGAGTGTTCATAAAAATCAACAGAAACAGTCCAAGTATCCTTGGTTCGATTGAGATTCGTTATATTATTTTTATGAACTTCCTAAGACTAACATCACTCTATGGAGCCTTATTTTATAATCAAGTTTCATAACGCAGAACTTGAGGGAAAAATAACATCGACCAATCTTGTTCATTGTAGAATATAGCAGCAGCTATGGATAAAACTTAATTAAAACAAGATTCATGTAAAGAAAATTGCGTCAGTTGGTTCTTTTTAAGGACTTGTTACGATTTTATTGTATCGGCAATTCTTTAAACAAAAGAACTAATACGAATAGTTGTAAAAGTCAAGGAGTCAATTGAAATATTGTATAAATGAAATAGGTAACTTAGAATACGAGTTTGGAATAAGGAGAAAGATCGTCGAATTTACGCTAGCATATCGCCCATCTGATGCTCAAGCAAAAAAAATAAAAATACTATCGCCCAGCTCTTGCTTGAGCGACACAAGTCGCTCGCCTGTTGCTCGAACAACAATGTTACACTTAAAACCCTAGTTTACGTTTTTCAAAAGTTTTATTCAAACCTTGCTAGCTAATTGCCTTCTATTATATATACGCAATCCCTAATCTTTTTTTGGTGTAATTGTTCATTATATTCCTTCTCCAGAACATATTTCTAAGATTCAAGAACACATTCAAGCCTTAGATTAATCCTTTGATTCTTGAGTTCATTCAACTACAACTTTAGGGAAAACATCAAATTCATATAATCCAAAACACCAACTTTCTATACACATACAAGAAGGTACTTTCTCAATAACTTTCAAAAGTTAATGAAAATTGAGGAAGGTTGTAATAGAAACACAAGAAGAGTATAAGAACAAGGGGTTTTTAATGATTCATAGGAAATAGACAATTCTAGAAAATCAGGAATAGATGCGAGTAAAGCACGTTCGATCGGGTCTTTGAGATTGCAATAATTAGACCGAGTCTAGTGGACTTTTTTAGGCTGGATTGTACTATAAGCTCTTATTGTCTATAGTGGAGGTTATTGGCTTTGTCTCGAAATTTTTACCCAGTTGGCTTTCTTCGTCAACAGTTCTTTTGTTCTTTATCGGTTTCATATTACAAATTGTTACAAATTGTGGCAATTTAACATATGATAAATTGACTTGATTGACTAAACATCTAGAACAATTAATAAGTGAATTATTGCTGTTAATTGATAATTTTAATTCTGCAGTTTTCACCTAATCACCCCCTAGGTGATTTTAGGGTCGAACTAGTAACTTTACACGGTCAAACAATGATTCAGTAAACAAGAAGAAGAAGCCAGCAAAACTAATCTTCCTGAAGGAAAATTAAAGATATAGATTTACCTTCATTTGATTTGGCAACGATTGCAGCTACAATAGATAACTTCTCCAGTGAAAACATGATTGGCGATGTTCGTTTTGGTCAGGTTTAAAGGATTAAGGACATGAGATGTGAAAATTTTCACGTTGTACAAAAATATCCCATTAACATTTGCATTTTATAGTTGCATATACAGATAATACTTTTTATCGAATGATCAGATAATACTTCCTGAAGGATGGACAAGGAGTAACAGTAAAAAGACCGTAAAAAACGTTCAGATATGCTCCTGAAGAAATGGAGTGAGTTTGATTGCCAAATTCCAACATAGAAATCTCGTCAGACGTTTAGGTTGCGGCACATAAAAGAATGTTGATCTACGAGTACAAGCAGAGAAAAAAAGTGTGGATAATTTTATTTTCTGTTTGACCTAAGAAACCATATTGATTTTTTATGAAAAATTATATACCAATTTCAAGGGGATCAAACATATTAGTTTTGACACACGGAAAGTATTCAACTCTGTGCAGATAAAAAAAAAAAAGGACAATATTGACATGGCCTAAGCAATTTGACATTATTATGGGGATTTCAAGGGGGGTTGCTCTATCTTCGCAATGTCTCCAGGTTAAAGATTATCTACAGGGATCTCAAAATAAGCAATATTTTCCTAGATGAAAATTTATATCGAAATATTTCAGACTTTGGCTTAGCTAGAATTCTCGGTGGGGGACTAGGTATTGCAAGAAAAAGAGAGTTAATGGACATAGTTATTTTCTCTTTAACTTGAGCGAAACATATAGTTGTTTGTACAAGATCTCATAGCCAATAACTTTATATAGTGGCTATACGGCTCTAGAATATACCACCGAGGCAATTTCTCCATAAAATCAGATGTCTTTAGCATGGGAGTCATCTAGTTAGAGATAGTGGTGAAAAGAACACAAGTTTTAGACACATGAATCACTATCGTAGCCTTTTAGGATAT